TAATGCTGGAAAATCTATTAATTGTGTGAGGAATCAACATTTATTAGGTTTTCTTATGAATTTCATGTGTGAGGAATCAACATGGATGATTTGAGTAGGTGGCATCAACATTGTTAGGTTAATTGACGTTCTTAATTGACATAGCCATTACAAAAGAGGGATAAGAAAGGAAGTCAATCCTAAGTACCTTTAATTGATATTTTCTTAACAATTTACAGTTCTTTATCATTTAAATTCAACTCAACTCTTATTTGCAAAACCCAATCTGTTTAATATACTTAGTAAGCATAATTGAGAATTTTCATTGAAACTGTTCCTCGTGGGATCGACTTTTATTTTATCGAAATATTATACTGCGATTAATAATTTTGGTACACTTGCCAATAATTCAACAAGAGCCTGAGTTACTACACCACCTAGAGTAACAAGTTAGGAAACCGAGGAGGAAGAAATAACTGAATCGGTGAAGATAAAGAAAAACATGAAGAGCATGGTGCTCGGATTGCCAAGTATTGAGGGGAGAGTTTGCAAAGGAGTGGTCAGTAAAGAGGTGAGGATTCCACTTTAGAAAATTACATAGTATAGAAAGATATATGATTTAAGTCTAAGTAGTGAATTCCAAAGTAACCACATTTGAGCTCTAGTAGACGAGAAAGTTCGAGTTGTTCTTGAAGACGAGAAGAACTAAGTTGATATTAAAGAGAAGATATGAGTTGTTATGGATGAGAAGAGTCGAGTTAAAGAACACAATAATACATTGGTGATGACCAAACCTATTGGTGTGAAACAGGTATTGAAGAAAGATGAGATATATGACCGAGTTATTGGAGTGAAGCATGTGAATGTCAAGTTGACACTTTTGGATGATGTGCTCAAGGAGAAGGTGAATGATAAACAATCACTCAGATATGCGAAGAAAGATGAGGAGAAATCGTTAATCAGGAGATCGCTTAAGTCGATCTCATGTTTTGAAGCTCAGGGAGTTTTGAAACTAGTCGAGAGTTAGGAGGTCCCTATCACGTCTATCTCAAGTATTCTTAGATGCAGAGAATTAATAATAAGTTAATTAACTTTAAAAGGTTTATTGGAACATTTTGTAATAGTTTAACATTTTGGGACAAATGATATTTTGGATGGTTATTGTTTTAATTCCTAATTATGATTAGAGGTTTTAGTCCAAGATAAATAAGTCATTTTAGTCCTCAAATAAAATATAACAATGAAACAATCAATAATATTCGATTTTCAGAATTCTTTATTATAACTTATATCAGAAACAATAACAATAACAACATAAAGATACACTATTAAAGGAAATTATACATGGTATTAAACATCATCTTTTCTTTTCCAATGAGAACATATACACTTAATTCAAGTATATTAGTTAAATTTAAATTTGTAAATATTTAGTAATTTATCCTTATATAAGGATGAAGCTGTAGAAAACATTTTAATATAATGCACTTCATATTTTTTAATTGTTTATGATAGTTTATATAAATATTTTACACTAGAAAAATATATTTAATAACAATTTATTATAATTCACGTGTCTCATATTAAGTTAAATGGTGACATTTATATAATTATAGAACTTTCTAAATTTATTCCTTTTACATATAATATATTGATTTATGTTATGAAAATAAGGGTTATCTACTTCTTGCTTATTGGTTATTCTTTTGTTTACTTCCTTCGCCCGTATTGATTCTTTTTCTCCTTTAATTAAGTTACTTATTTTTATTTTATTTTGTGATGATTGAAAAAGAAATTATATCAAAAGTGTAATTTTATATCAAATATAAAATATTATATTAGTTATTATTAGATGAGTTATCAGTTATTATATATCAACCTATTCTTATCTTTTGAATACTATATAAAGGATCTAACTACTGGAGTAAACCTCATCTCATAATTTATTCTCATATACATCAATTTCTTGTCTAAAAACTTACTCGAGCATCGTGCCTTTTACAAGTGGACCTCTACACTTTTTCGGAGATCGTCTTCAAAGCTGGTTCGAAGATCGGCCAACCGACTTCATTTTTCTATCTGGCCAACCATTTTCAGCTCGGCGAACATCTTGTCGATCATCTTCAGCTAGATAAGAATAATGATGTCCACTGTGGGGGCGAGAGTAGAGTTTCGCTCCACTTATAAACACTGTTTAGTCCTCAATTGTGGGCTTATATTTCAATATACTCATGAAGTCCTACATTGTTTAGGAGTTGAGGCCAAAGGTAATTTAAATACACCTTTCTCCCTTAATCGACAGAGGTACCTTTTAAAGACAAAACCATGACAGATGAAAGCTCCAAAGCAGATAATATCTTAAATGTGAAAATTGATCTTTACAATGTTATCATAGTGGACATAAGACCGGGACAGTCTCAATCCTTAAACGGAATAAATATAAAAGGTTAAATTTTTCAATTTCTACTTATATCTATGCCACCAACATTGAAAAGGTGGTACATGCAAATAGTAAATTTTAGTTATGATGATGATCGATGATGTTTGTTTTAATGCATTGTTAATTTTTATGAGATAAGAATGAAAATATGTGTATTTGATAATTAGATTATTTATTCCACTTGAAATATACCATTGTTAAAAAAAATATACTTTATATCATAAAAATTATTTATTTTCTTGTGTAAGAAGAAAATTAATAAGAAAAGTAAAATTTAAAAAAATTAATACTTTATGTAATAATTTCTATTATCATTTTTTATGAAATGATTGATGTAAAAAATTTATTATTAAATTATTTAAATAATTGATCTAATAAATATTTAAAATTTAAAAATATCCATAAAGTATAAAAAAACGTGTGTTAAGGAGAAAATGAGCACTATAGAAACTATGCCAGTTTTGTAAATGATTATTTTTAAAAGAAGTTATATACAATTATGGAGAAAAAAATAATAGAAGAACTGTTATGGATGTCATAAAATTGTTATGGGTAATTTTTATGGTTGGAATGTTTTGAAGTTTTTATTTGTCACGATTTTGTCTTTAAAAGATGTATTAAGTAGGTCGAGAATGTTCCCGTCTCATATTTATTATAATAATATCGTTAAGATCAATTCTCATATTTGAAATATTGTCCGGTCTAGAATTTTAATTCATCACGATTTTATATTTAAAAGATGTCTCAATGAAGTATGAGAGAAAAATATATATAAATTATCATTTATCTATCATTTTCATAAACATACTCATTACATATTCTATTTTAATCAAACTTTCATTTTTTTTTAATGAGTTTAATTTTAATTCCTCGTTAGATATCCTTATAAAACTTCAAGACTACAAGTATTAATTCTTGTAAATATTTTATTGGAGTGTATTGAAAGAATATTTATATTCTAAATCTTGTAAAAACTTACCAAAAATGACTTGATTTATAAAATTTGGATAAATTTATTAAAGAATATCTATATTATAAATTAGAAAAACTTACTAAAAAATATTTTTATTTATTGGTGGAAAATGTTGTAAAAATATGGACATAGTCTCATGTTGTACTAGGATAAAAATATTTAGATTTATATGTTTTGTCTTATTTTATTTGTGCTATTGTCTCATGTTATCTACCACCCTTCTTTTATCTAAACTTAAAGTCAGATCTTGTATTTGTCTTCTTATTAAGATTGTTAAAAGTTAAATAATTTATTCAATGTGATTTTGAAAACAAATTGAAATTTCAACAAAAAATACAACTTAATCCCCTTATTTTGTTTTTCTTACTTTACAAGTATTTTTATTTTAATTCTAATGTCTAGAAATTTTAAGAAAAGTTTTTCTTCTTAAATGGTAGTGACTTATATTTATTTTTAAAGTTGTTTCAGTATGTCTAAAAAGTTTTACAGTACTTAAGAGTAAAATAAAGAATAAATAATATATATTTTCTTTCTTTAAAGATAAAATCATTAAAGCATGACAATACTTTGGAATTGATGACTGTTCCTGCCAATACCAATTTTTAGTCTAAATTCACTCTTATCCTTTAACCATTAACGAATATGTTTATTTTCATTCATTTATGACTAAAAATAAAAAATATAGGAAAAATATTATTTTATAAAATTGTCATTTTTCATATAAATAATTATTATATTTATTTTATAATTTTAATATATATATATATATATATAATTATTATTTAATAAAATATATAAATATATGCAAATTATTATTTAAATAAATAATTTAATATATTTTATTTTTTTAATGTGATAATATTTTATTAATAAATAATATCTAAAAAATATATAACTTTATAATAAATAATATATATAGTTATATAACAAAGTATATATTATTAAAAAATAGATATCAATTCAAAAAAACTATTTAATAAATAAAAAAACTCAATTGATAATTATATAAATTTTTTTATAAATAAAAAAATATTTAATTTTAATTTAATGGTTTATTATATTTTAAAATGAATACTTTTATTTATTATTATATTTTTCTTTTAAATCCATAAAAGTATTTTTTAATTTATTTCATCTTTTTTCCTTTTATTCACAATTTTTTTTACTATCGAATGGATCAATTAGAATTTATTTAAATATATTCTTGAATTCATTCGAAACCAGAACAAAATTAAGATTTGGGAGGAATAAAATTGGTGAAATCCTTTTGAAACTTTATTTCAATTTATTTTTTATAATCGATTAGGTTTTTTTACCTTACAAAATCATACATTTAACTATGGAAAATTATCTACGCCCAAAGATGATATAAATACTACTAAATAAAACCATGATAAATACTTATAACATAAAAATGAATAATAATCTGATACATTAATTAAAAGTTATTATGCTATTAATTAATATTGGTGCATTTTTTTAAAATAAAAAGGAAAATTTTTATATCACTCCCAATCTCCCACGAAGAAAGATAATTATCAATTACTTATTCAGAGAATATTCTCTTATTTTCATTGAAGTTATTACTTTTAACTATTCCATTTCTTCTTATGCATGATGGGATACAATTGCCATGAGAGGGGATTTTCTATGCATGGACAACCCAATAGTTTCAGTGATGTCCAGTGTCTGATCCCCCGCTACTCCACTAGGAACTTCCCAATCAAATTGGTGAACAAGGTTTGCTAGGAGCAGCTCAATCTCATTCATGGCAAACGTTATTCCTGGACAACTCCTTCCTGCTCCAAATGGATCACTTGGAAATCATGTCCTCTCACATCTATAGAACTATTTAAGAATCTCTCTGGTTTGAACTCCAGAGATTGCTCCCAGTAAGAACCATCTCTTCCAATTGCCCAAGCATTGATCATTACTTGTGTGCCCTTTGCAATGTCATAACCCATCACTTTGGCATCTTCCATGGATTCCCTTGGAAGCAACAAAGGACCTGGAGGATGTAATCGGAAGGCTTCTTTAATCACTGCCTTCAAGTAATGCATGCTGCTTAAATCTTCCTCAGTCACGCGAGTTCTGCCACTAACCAAATTCCTTACCTCACCTTGTAGCTTCTGCATCACAGTTGGGTGCCTTAAGAGTTCTGCCATTATCCAGCTTAGATTGAGGAGCTAGTGTCAGTACCAGCGGCAAAGATATCCTGAAAGAAAGAGTGGTGATACATTGAAACCTCCTCAAAAATAAACAACTCTTCGTACAACCTATTTTTATTAATATAATAATAATAAAAGAATTTAACTAGAGCAATAATATTAAGAAAATGTATTGAGTTGATGTACGAACACAGTTTATTTGAGATTGAATAATGTATTATTTATATCTAATTTTCTAACTTCACAATTTAAATGTATCGTAAAGAATAGGATAGTTGGATTTGATCAATTGAATCATTTTTTTTTATTTAGTTTTAAAGACCCACTCTGAGTCTATGATATTGTTGTGTCGTTGAAATGGTACCAATGTTCAAGTGTTATTAGCCGCTAAAGCTTTAAATTCTGTATCCATAACTATTTTTCATCTTGGATTGACTAGTATTTCATTGACATTTTTTTGTTCCTTGTTCTTTGTGTGTGTCTCTATCAGTTCTATATAGGACAATTTTGGCTTGTAGATCTCTACCTTGTCTCTGGTTTGTATCCAGTATGTGTTGTCTTGCTAGCCTACTGGTTATTGTCTTTTGGTGTATTTACTGATGTGTCATCTATTGGTCTTCTATAATTGGTGTTTCATTTTCATGTAAGGTTGTCTTATCTAAGCGTGGTTGATTTTCATTGCCAACTAAGTTATTGAGAGTCGGTTGATCTTCATTGGTAACAAAGTCACCTTCCTAATGGTTCACCTTACTGTTAGTTGATTCAAATGTGTGACTTGTAGTGGTACCTGTAGGACAATAGGGAAGAACAATAGGTATTGTTCTAGTTAGAGTTTTTAATGAATTTCTTGTGTCAAGAAAGTCATCATGAAATGGAAAGTGGTTCTCATTAAAGACCACATATCTTGAGATAAAAATTCTTCCATGGGAGTTGAAGCACTTATATCTCTTGTGAAATTTTATGTATCCCAAGAATACACACAGTGTAGTGTGAAATTGAAGTTTATGTTGATTGCATAATTTGAGACAAGGATAGCATGCAGGCTTTAAGGAAACATAGACAAATTCTTTTCAAATAATAATGAATATGAACTTTCATTTGGGTTAACTATAAGACAATATATTGATGAGATAAACTGAGATAAAATAAACACTACTACAAAATATACTTTCTACGTCGTTATTTAACGTCGGTTATAGCTGAGACGACGTAGAAAGTACTTTCCACGTCGGTTCTCAGATGAACCGACGTTGAAATTGAATATTAAACACATTCTACGTCGGTTCTTAGTCAACCGACGTAGAAAGTACTTTCTACGTCGGTTCCCATATGAACCGACGTTGAAAGTCTTTTTTTATTTTATTTTTTACTTACTGATAGCGGTTATAAGGGAACCGCTATCTAAAGTGTATATTAGATAGCTGTTATAAGGGAACCGCTATCTAATATACACTTTAGATAGCGGTTCCCTTATGACCGCTATCTAATATGCACTTTAGATAGCGGTTCCCTTATAACCGCTATCTAATATACACTTTAGATAGCGGTTATAAGGGAACCGCTATTATATCCTTCAATTATGATCGATCATTTCATGTTATGATCGATCGGAATCTAATTTCGCTCGAGCGAGGGTAGTGTCGCTCAAGCGAAATACAACCCGAGAATGCTAATTTTGTGCAGGGGCGTTTCGCTCGAGCGAGAAGGGTGTCGCTCAAGCGAGATACATTTTAGATAGCGGTTAACCTGGAACCGCTATTATATTGTTTCAATTATGATCGATCGAATGTAGTTATGACCGATCGTAACTATTTTAATCGATTAAATCTCGTTTCAATCGATTAAAACAATTTTTGCACAGCCGCTTTAATCGATTAAAACTTATTTTTATCAGCTTAAAATTACTTGAAAAGTGTCACGAGAAAGTTTTGCAGTATTTCAATCGATTGAATCGCGAAACAATCGATTAAATCAACTTAGAAGATTTTTTGTAAAGTGTTTTAATTGATATAAACGTTGTCGTATCGCTTAAAACAAATCAGTTAAAGAATCAAGAACGTATTAATGGATTAAAAGAAGTTTTAATGCATTAAAACTGCACTTTTAACAGATTAAACCAAATAGCTTTGAAAATCTTCTATAAAAACAGTTTGACTTGAACTTTTTTAACATACATTGAATATATCATCTTTTACACATCCTTGAGCAATCAATCAATCGCTAATTGCGACCGAATTAAAGTGGGGGTTGGCTCGAGGTTAGAGTTCGACGTCACTAAGGTATGCGTTAGGGTTCGAGCTCCGCCGGGTTTGCGTTGGGTTTCACAGAGATGACAATTGGGTTTGGCTTGACATTGGGGTTTGATGTCGCCGTAGTCGGGGTTCTGCTCTCGAGTTCGTCGAGGTTGAGGCCGTGGTTGAGATTCGAAATTACTATTTGACATTTTTCTAGTAGTGAAATTTACACTGATATATATTTATTTGTATATAAATATAATTTATTTGTAAGTTATTATAAAATAATTCAAGTAGTTTAGTGGTTGGAGTATCGCCTCCAACTCTAAAGTACTGGGTTCGAATCTCGCCAATGACAATTCTCTTAAAAATTAAAAAACTTCTAAAAAATATAATATAAAGAGATGAAGGACCTAATAAAAATATAATATGAAGAGAGGGAGACTTCTAGATAAATAAAAGGGGGTAAAGGGGTTGTAAATAAATAAAAATTATTAATTTAAAGTCTATATTAGATAGCGGTTCCCTTACAACCGCTATCTAAAGTCTATATTAGATAGCGGTTCCCTTACAACCGCTATCTAAAGTGTATATTAGATAGCGGTTCCCTTATAACCGTTATCTAAAGTAAAAACTTTAACGTCGGTTTTTTAGAACCGACGTTGAAAGTTACGACTTTCAACGTCGCCTGATACAACGTCGGTTATTAAACCGACGTTGAAAGCCTTCCAGAACCGACGTTGAAAGCTTTATTTGTAGTAGTGAAAGTTTCCTACCAGTAATGTAAAGACATTTTGACATGTGCTGATAGTGTGAGCCCTAGTTCAGTCACATGTGTATGTTTTATTTTTGCTTTACCATTTTTCTAAGAGGTATATGACCAAGACATTCTAAATTGAATTTCTGACTCAATAACTATTTTATGGACAAGTTTATACTCACTTCCACCATCACAATGAAGGGCTTTTATTTTCTTGTTAAATTGGTTTTCAATCATGCTTTTGAATTAAGTGAAAACATGTATTGTTTCTAATTTTTGTTTTAAGGGAAAAACCTAAGTGAATATGTTGAAATCATCAATGAAATGGACATAGTACTTAAAATTAGATAGAACCAAAATTGGTGCTAGTCCCCATACATCAATGTGAATCAATTCTAAAGATTATTTAGCATGAGAGGAAGAGGATTTAAATGGTAACAAGAAAAGTTTACTAAATTGACAAGTTTCATAAAATGAAAATTGATCACTTGATGAAATCTTCACATCGCAATTCTTCAACACCTTTTCCACGACTTTATTGTTGGGGTGTCCAAGATTTCTATGTTAACTCTCCATGATTGACATCAAGATATATGGATCTTTATTGACTTGAGAGTTGACACTTGAAAATTTGTATAATCAATCTCTAAGTTCCTTTTTTAGTAGTGTCTTCCCAGTTAGTTTGTCTTTCACATAATAGTGGTTTACATCAAATTCAATAAGAACATTATTGTCGACAGTTAGTTTAGATACACTCAATAAATTTTTGGTTATTTTTGGAATATATAGGGACATTATGCAGGTTGAGGTTATTTAGTTTAGTTGAGCTTAAGGTAACTATTCTCAATCTTTCACCATTGTCAACTAAGAGAGAATTCTTATCATTATTTTCATTGAGATCTTACAGTTTCTCATTTTTGTGAGTCATATAATTGTTGGCTCCACTATCAAAATACTATTTGTAGCTCTAGCCGTAGTAGGGGGGCTATAAAATCATTGTGATCTTCTTTCTTGTTATTTTCAGTATTATGATTTGAACTTGTGTGTGACTTATCATAGCAATAAAAATAATTTATTATAGTGTGATCAATCTTATTACATACCTGACATATTGGTTTAGACATACCCCTACCTCCTCTGAAGTTAGGGTCTCTCTAGTTGCACTCTCAGTTCAACCAATCTAATTAGTTTAAGACCCAGTATATTATTTTCAAATAAATTAATTTTAATTACATTGATATAAACTAATATAAATTTTGATAAAATAGAGAAAATCGACTAAATTTTTAGCTCAAACCAAATTTAATAAAAAAATAAGATCGAAATGTTTATTTCTTTAAAATATAGTTTTAAAAAATATATATGTATTATTTTTTAAATACTTTTCTTTTTTTATCTTATATTAATCATATTAATTTTAAATAATAATTATTTTTTTTATATTTTCATTTTATTTTAATTATTATCTATATTTACTCTTTATGTATTTATATTTATATTTTTTATTATAATTTATAATAATATTTATTTAAAAAATCATCTTAATAATAAATTTATTATATATTTTAAAAATATTATTTTATTAAATTTAATTAAATTCTGTCTTTTAATCTTAAATTTATATTTTTATGGTATAATTTTTAAAAACAGTGGTTATATTATAATGCATTCATGAAATAGAGTTATATTATTATTTTCAAGTAATTTTTATATATTAATGGAATATTATACTATTCATATATTAATTATTTGAATTTGCAAATATCATTGAGTTCGGTTACGCACGAGTGTTCTATGCAATGTGTTTCAGCATAAACTGAGTCACTGGACTCAACAGAACATTAAAAGCTTTAAATGTACTTAGGAACTCAAAGAAGACATGAAACACTTGCAAGAAAAAGATTCAAATAAAGAAGACATCAAACAATTGAATTTAAATTTTTTACCTAATCTCAGACATCCGTGTATCAAAT